TCTCTATACATGCCCTATCATTAAAATATAGTACAGGCTCTTTAGGTTTAGGCGTTCTAAATCTCTTAAGAGTCACCATTACCTTAAAGCTTGTTCCAGCTCTTTAGGTGAGCACATGCTCAGTGGCTGTCTTCCCAGTGGAGAGGTCTATATCTACTCATGGACTCAGCCTCCAAGCAAAAGAGACCTCCTTCCTACTGCAAGGAGTTTTTCTCATATGTGTTTCTCCACCCACTGACCCAGTCACACCAGGTCAAAGGGGCTGTTCCTGGAGATTTCCAGGACCCTCCTTCCTGAAGAATCTCTAGCATTCAACATCTCCAAATCTCTGTTTCCTGCTTGGGGAAGGGAGGGAGCTTGACCCACCCATTATCTCTCTTGCTAGATCTATTTTGCATTTGTATCATGGTAAGTTGAAAAGCAATTACATTGACCGCCCCCCTACCGGCCCGTTCTCTGGCCAGAGGGGGAAAAAAAACTTTTAAAATGCACAGTGGAGATTTTGCTCGGCTCAAACCTCCCAGGAGAAATGCATTTCTTCACAGAGGGAAACACGTGTCTCCATGCTGTGAAAAACTTCAGATCTTGATTCCTGTGTATCAAGATGACACAATAATAGTGCAGGACAGGCAAAGTATTCTGGTCCGCTGGCAGCCCAATGGTTTACTGCACAACTGTCTCTCTGTGTGTTTTTGAAAACAGCAATTTCTCTATATGTTTAGTCTGCCATCTTCTGGCCATCAAAGGAATGTATACAGAGAGAGGGGGTTTTAACACAAAGAGTCCCCCCCCACACAATTAAAATGATGTGAGGAAAATGAGGACATCGGTAGTAATGGCCCTGACCTGCTTAGCCCAGGATAGCTCAATCTTAGAAGCTACGCAGGGCTTGGCTGTTAGTGTTTGAATGGGAGACTACCAAGGAATACCAGGGTCACTATGCAGAGGCGGGCAATGGTAAGCCACCTCGGAACACTTCTTGCCTTGAAAACCCTACAGGGCCAACTCGGAACACTTCTTGCCTTGAAAACTCTACAGGATAGCCATGAATCAACTGTGACTTGACAGCAAAAAAATGTATTAATGGAAGTTTGGTTGAGAAATGAAGGAGGGGGTAAAGAATCAGGAGGAAATGCACAAGGAAGAGACAGTGGAGGTTGTGGAGCATTGGGGGGGAAAACAAAAGGATTAAATATTTCTAGGGAGAAAGACAGGATTTGCACATAGGGAAAAATTGCTGATCCATAGAGATGTCTTTCTTGAGTTCTGCTGAATTAAAGGGCCCTAACTTTCTGCCAGTTACATGTGCACAGGATTGCAGCCTTCACTAGTTCCAGAAGGTCAGATGAGCTGCAGAGCTATCCTATGCAAAGTTACTCCAGTCTAAACTCAGAATCGAATTACACTGACAATCTGTTGCAGCTCTCTCAAATCCAGACAGTGGAGCCTGGTGGCGTCCTGAAGACCAACGGCTTATTTTTGGCTACCCTAAGGTTCCAGGTAGCCTTGTAAGTACGAAGCTGGATCCCAAACTAAAAGCTGTGCTTTACCTTTTATTAGGTAGGTTTCCCTTGCTCAAAAGCCAGTTGAATCTGACTCTAGGGATGCTGTTTCCAAGCTGATGAGCCAGCGCTGTCTGAAGACTTCTCCATGGTCATGTGGCCAGCGTGACTAGATGCCGAGGCGCACGGAACGCTGTTACCTTCCCACCGAAGCGATACCTATTTATCTACTTGCAGCTTCTTGCTTTCAAACTGCTAGGTTAGCAGGAGCTGGGGCCAGAGATGGGAGCTCACTCTGTCATGCGGCACTCGGGTCTCGAACTGCTGAACTACTGACCTTCCAGTCTGCAGTTCGGCATCTTAACCACTTGAGCCACCGCAGCCCTTACCTTTTATTAGGACCAACCAAATAACCCAAAAAGAGAGTGCAAGTCTTTTCCATTCCCTTAAAGACAATATGACCTTCAACAGGCCTCTTAGCTTCTTTGAAAGACTCTGGGCTTCTAAGTCCTTCTTAAAGAAAGGTTTGATTTCCATGATATACAGATCTCTTTTAATGGAAACTGAATCCTCCCTTACCACAACTCAAAAAGCTTGGCACACAGACCTTGGCAGGCACCTCTCAGAAACTCAATGGATTCAGATTTGGGGCTCATCAGTTTACACTTCAAGATCCATTCCGATACAAACGTAATCAGCTTCTCCTAAGATGGTACATTACACCAGCTAAACTTTCATATATAACCCCCCTGCAATCTCCCCTATGTTGGAAACCATGGACCAAAGTGGGATCCTTTTTTCAGAATTGGTGGACCGGCCCTCGAATTGAAAATTTTTGGAATGATGTTTACTAGAAATTAAACTGATCACTGGTCATACACTTCCCAAAGAACCCCGCCTTCATTCTTTTAAATTTATGGCTGAAAACCCAGATCCTTGCCATGGAAAGAGATTTGATTTCAGTTTTACTTACTGCTGCTAAAAATGTTATTGCTATCCATTGGAAGAATCAGAGTACCCTGATGATAAACCAGTGGCATATCAAAATCTGGGACTATTTTATTTCTGACAAAAGTATTAGACTGGGTTACCTTACAGTCTAATGGATAAATGGACCCCATTAATTGATGCACAGAACAGTTTTCCAATCAGTACAATACACTCTCAACCGGCCGATCATCACTCTGTCTGTTTCTTTGAATGCAGGAAGTGAGTTAGAAGTAATGGTTATGACTTGGTGCCCAAACACGAGTGGACACATCCTTCTTTATTAAAGTAATTTTTAAGGAGCTTGTTACATACCGTATGGTACACTATGTATCCAGAAGCTTTTTTGTATTTTTTTCCTGTGTTGAATTTTTGATTTCTGTATTGCAACATTTTATTTATTTATTTATTTGACTTATATCCCGCCCTTCCACATGGGCTCATGGCGGCTGACAGGAGGCAGTTGCCATACATGACAATAAAAACCAGATAAAACAATCGATTACATTTACATTTAAAATCGGTGCTCACAAAACAATATCCAAGATGGGGTCTCCAATACAATGTTTCTAAATTCTACTATAAGGAAGGCCGAGTGCCGAAGAATAGATTCTTTTGAACTATGGTGCTGGAGGAGCCTCTTGAGAGTCCCTTGGACTGCAAGAAGAACAAATCAGTCAATCCTAAAAGAAATCAACCCTGACTGTTCCCTGGAAGGCCAGATAATGAAACTGAAGCTCAAATACTTTGGCCACCAAAAGAGAAGGGAGCACTCACTGGAGAAGACCCTGATGCTGGGAAAGATTGGAGGTCAAAGAAGACGGGGACGGCAAAGGATGAGATGGTTAGACAGTGTCATTGATGCAACGAACATGAAATTGAGCAAACTTCAGAGGACGGCGGAAGACTGAAGGGCCTGGCGGAAGCTGGTCCATGGGGTTGCGAAGAGTCAGACTCGACTGTGCGACTGAACAACAACAACAACAACAACAACAAATTCTACTAGCTCTACTTGATCAGTCTGCGCTATGTCCGTTCTTCAGTTCCAGGGCCAGCTCGCATTGCCAAAATTGGCTGTGCGGTGATGGTACAGTGATGGTGGCGGCTCCTACTCAAAAGCCTGGTGGAAGAGCTCCGCCTTGCAGGCCCTGTGGAACTGCATAAGGTCCCGCAGGGCCCTGATCTCTTCCGGGAGCTCGTTCCACCAGATAGGAGCCGCCACCGAAAAAGCCTTGGCCCTAGTTGCAGCATATTTGACATCTCTAGGGGCTGGAATAGCCAGAAGATGTTTTGCCCCCGACCGTAGTGCCCTTGGGGGAACATATGGGGAAAGGCGGTCCCTTAGGTAAGCTGGACCCTGGCCATATAGGGCTTTATAGGTAAGAACCAGCACTTTGAAGTGGGCCCGATACGCTATTGGCAGCCAGTGCAGCGCCTTCAGCGAAGGCTGGACGTGGGCTCGCCTAGAGAGGCCCATCAACAGCCTGGCTGCTGCATTCTGCACCAGCTGCAGCTTCCAGATCTGCGACAAAGGCAGCCCCATCTAGAGAGCGTTGCAGTAGTCCAACCTCGAGGTGACCGTCGCGTGGATCACTGTGGCCAAGTCATCGTGGTCAAGGTAGGGAGCCAACTGCCGTGCCAGCCGCAGATGGTAAAAGGCTGACTTGACAGTGGCTGCTACCTGGGCCTCCATCGTTAAGGCGGAGTCCAGGAGCACTCCGAGGTTAAATAACAAGGTTAAACGTTTTTAAAAGAGTGTGCAAGCTTCCAGGTTCCCCAGAGCTCTTCATCAGATGTTAAAAGAGGTGTGTGATTTTGCGTGTGTGTGTATGTTTAGCATCAGTTTGGGACTCAATTCATCAGGGACATGCTTAGATGCTCCTGACAGAATTTTTTTTAAAGCCAGTTTTTAGAGTTAGCCTGCATGTTTCTGGCGTGTGTGTGTGCCCACAAGTCACAGCTGACTTACGACCACAGCCTGCCTGTGTGTAGAGCCTGGGACTTCCTTCGTGGTCTCCCACCCAAGTACTCACCGGGGATGACCCTGCTTAGTTTAGGAGATCTGATAAACCAGGTGAGCCTGGGTTAGCCAACCTCGATTGGATTAGACTATTTTGGATGCAGAGAGTTGCTCCTAATAATGCTGCGGGGCTACTGTTCCTGATAGATTTTTCTCCCCAACGGACCCCAGAGGCTGCATACAATGTTTATCATTACGATATTACTACTAATAATAACTTATTATTAAAATATTATTAATAATAACAAGGAAAACAACAACAAACTGCAAAGGCTTAACCAAGGATGCAGCAGGTCAGCGGAGGCAACTGCTAGGCACCCCCCCCCCCCCCCCGGGGCGCACAAAGAAGCGGGCAGAAGAAGCGCAAAGGGCACGGGGCAGAAGGGGCGGGGCTTGGCAGGAGGAGGGGGCGGGGCCTCCAGAGCCGCTGTCGCCGCGTGACCTCGGAGGGGTGACGTCACAGCGGCGCGCCTCTTCCTCGGCTTCCGGGTTGGAGAGGGAAAATAAACTGCGCCGGGCAGTGTCACGTGGCTGGTACCTGCATAAGGTGCGTTGTGAGTGGATGCTCTGCCCACCGTAGGGGAAGGAAAGGGTTGTATGCCCCCCCCCCACCACTGGATGTATCGCAGTTTAGTTTTGTATTGGTTTTAAAATGTTCTAAAACTGTTTTAAAGAAATTTATGGAAGCCGACCTGAGCCTGCTTCGGCGGGGAGGGCGGGGTATAAATCTAATGAATGAATGAAGTGGGGACGGGGCAGCCACCTTTTTGCTTATCCGGTAGGTTTCCGGTGCTTTTAACACCCATTTGGCAGGTAGGAATTCAACAGGTGCAACATCACCTCCTCTCGCTGCTCCCCTCCCCCGCCAAGCACAGAGATGCGGTGACGGCGGAGGGAGTCTTCATTTGTCCGTTACTGTTATTTTTATTTCATCAGAAAGCTTTCTCCACTGTCCCTTTTCTCGCTCCCTGCTTTATCCCCACAACAAACCTGTGAGGTCGGTTAGGCTGAGAGAGGAAGGGCTGGCCCAGGGTCACCATTGACAGCTGCATGATGGAGAGGGAAGACTTGAAGCCTGTATTTTAAATGTGGTTGAAAAAGCATTCGTGGCACAATACTTTTTAAAAATTCCAGCCGAAATATCACCAAATAGAAAATGTTCTCGTTTCTAAGAAGAACTCTTCATTGGACTGTGTTTCAGTGACAGAAATGCGGACAAGGAGGAGGGAGAAGAGAAAAGATGTTTCAGGGTATGGTGGAGAACCCCCTGGCAGTTTGACACACACTCTTTTTGGCATCTGAAATCTCTTAAAACTGCTGACCAGGGGCTTCTTGACTCTGCCATGGAATACCTCCCCCCCCTTGTGTGTATTTAACATTGAACTGGGTGTAGTGTTCTATGAGTGTTTCCTATTTTAGTTGATCCTAATAAATAAATTAAGATGCTGAACTGCAGGCTGTGGAAGGTCAGGAGTTCAGGAGTTCGAGACCCAAGTTGCCACATGACGGAGTGAGCTCTCGTCTCTAGTTCCAGCTCCTGCCAACCTAGCAGTTTGAAAGCAAGATATTGCAAGTAGATAAATAGGTACCACTTCAGTGGGAAGGTAACAATGTTCTGTGCGCCTTGGTGTTTAGTCATACCGGCCACACGACCACGGAAAAGTCTTCGGACAGCGCTGGCTCTTCGGCTTTGAAACGGAGATGAGCACCGCAACCCTAGATTCGGACTCGACTGGCTTTCGAGCAAGGGAACCTTTACTTTTACCTTTAATAAATAGGTATTACGTGACTGTTGTGTTGACTCGCTGGATCTTTTTGAAGCAGGGGGTTAGGGTGGGGTAGGAGGTGCCATCCTTATCTGACACACTTTTCAACCATCCCAAGACTCTCTTTCCCCTTCTGGCCAGTTACCTCCATTCTCCAAGGACTGTTTTTATCAGTCTAGTTTCTCTTTTAACAGCTCATCAGTGTTTGCTAGTCCTCCATTCATTCCTTGCAGTTACCCTCACTTGCACACAAAAGCTTATGCTGCAGGATACCATTTCTCACAGTGTGCTAATGTGAGAGAAAGCTTATTTTAAATTAATGCTGCAATGGTATAGATGTGCTAAGATACCATTTCTCACAGAGAGAGCTTATTTTAAATTAATGCTGCAATGGTAGAGGAGGCCTTTACAGATGAAACACAACAAAGTGGGACCTTCAAGGAATTGGAGGGTTTGGAAATCCACTTCCACAAAAATCTCCTTCTCCAGGATTCTCTTGTGCATTTGTGGGCATAAGTGACTTGATTTGTGCTCTACACTTTGTATTCCTCTTTGGTGGCTCTCATTATTCCATGCCTTCTGAACATGCTAGTTTCAGGGTTTTTAGGCTGATTTCCCCCCATATTTTTCTGTATCCCATAATTTAGAGATCGCCAGCCTTTCTGAGCCTGCAGGCACCTTTGGAAATCTCACACAGGGTGGTGGGATCAACTGCAAAATGCCTAACAGGAGGTGGAGCTAGTCACACAGACAGACAGACGAAGGCCAAGTGACCAGAACAAGAGGATTAATTTTTAAAAACACATGGGAAGGAGTGAAAGAATAGAACCAACACTTTTGTTATTTTTTATCTGTATGAATTAGATCTCCAATGGCCAACTGGGCAGGAGCCAATGCTCCCTCTAAGATGTAGAGTCTTGTGAGCAAAAATTCTTCTTTGTGAGCTCCTGGCATTAAAGTTGTGAGCCAGCGATTTGGCTCCTGCATAGATTAGGTTGCTCTGGAGTCATCCTTCCTGAGCGAAGACAAAAATGTGTGAGCTGGAGGCTAAAAAACTATGAGTTAGCTCACACTAACTCAGTTGAGCTCAAACACTGGCAGGAGCCACATTTGGTCCCTCCTATTTCTGCAAACACTTGGTGGGTGCCAGAAAAGCTGTTGGCAGGCACCACGGTGATCACAGGCACGACACTGGGGAACCCTGCCACAATGCTTTCTTTTTAGCTTTCATTTAAAGGGAAACCCCTTTCCATTGCCAACTATTTCTAGGCAGACCCCTCCCGATTTTTGCTTCTTTGATGCATTGGGCTTGGCCTGGGCCGTTGCTTTAATCTTAACTCGGTTTTTTGTTGTTTTTTTTGCATTGCCCTGCCACGTTTTGTTTTTCATGTGGACGATTGTGCTGCGAATGTGCCTTCAGAGATTTGTGGAGCTCATTGTGATGTGTTTCCTCTTCTTTTACACAGCCTGGCTCCTGTTCCAATGGAGAGAAAATCCAAATTGCCCAAAGGAGAAAGGAAAGAATACCGGGACTATGAGACTTTGCCTATTTACAGATACAGGAAGAAATTAGTGGAAGCGGTTTGTGACAATGCATTTCTTGTGGTGACCGGTGAAACGGGGAGTGGAAAAACCACACAGCTTCCAAAATATTTATTCCAAGAAGGTATCTATTGGCCAGTTGCTGTTCAAGCCATGCCTTTCAAACCTTCTTCCTTCTACATTTCTGTGTTGATTTGTCTGTCAAGGGATCCTTGTGTGGTAGCTGGAGAATGCTGGCCGTGTGGGCAATGTGCTGTGGAGTGTACTCCGTACTTTGGGTAGGGTCCCTTCTGAGCTTCTTGCTTTCCTCTGTGATTGACTGTGTGTCCCAGAAGATGTAACTGCATCTGCAGAGAGGTGGTGGTGGGCAGTCTTTCTTGGACAGGTAACTAGAACTGTGCTGCAATGAAACGGTGAGAAAGTTGCATTGGTAAAGGGGTAAGGACAGTGTCCTACCCTACTATAAGGCTAACTATCACTGCAAGTGTGCTCCAGACAAGGTAATTTATACTTAGTATATCATGTTTAAAAATTCATGCTTTGTTTCAACCCAGTTTGAGATTTCTGTTTGTTTTCGGAGGTCTGTAGTCCAGACCCTACTGTATTATTCATTGGATGTCCCATCCTGTCGATTGTGCTCGACTTATGCTGTGTATCTGTGTATTGACTTATCTGCCTTGAGTCTCAGCGAGAAAAGTGTACTATAGACAACCAAATAATAATAATTACGGGGGAGGTTCTGGCCGTTACTCAGTGAGGAACGCCTGACAGATTTCTGAGGAATCCCAGCAGGCCTTGAAACACTATTGGAAAGTCACAGGGGAGTGATGCTTTTGAGATCTGTTCACCAGGATGCTGAATTATTTCTAGAAATGTGCTATATGTTATTTTTGCCATGTGGCTCTGTTACCTTTTTCAAGGCTACAGTCAATTCCTTTTCTCCCTGTTCCTGTGAAACTTGACAGAGCCCTTCCGTTACCTTTTGCAGGGTTTGCCAACCATGGCCTGATTGGTGTGACGCAGCCGCGGCGAGTGGCTGCCGTATCAGTGGCCCAGCGGGTAGCAGAGGAGATGAACTGCCCTCTGGGAAGCATCGTGGGGTATCAGGTTCGCTTTGATGAGTGCGCTTCCGAGGTACGTGTCAGAACTGAGCTGCTGGAGAGTGGCATTGCTCTTGCTGGGAGGGGGGGGGGGGGGGGAGAGTTCCAGAGTTTGTGGCAGCTGAAAAAGCCTGCCTGTGGGTCCCAACCAGCCTTGCCTCTGACACAGTTGGTTCTTGCCAGGAGGGGACACCCATCGGCCTCAGAATTCTATGCACAGTCCCCCTGTTTTCTGTTACGTTGCTCTGTAAAATTGGCTTTTTATTTCCACTTTGGGATAGGTTGACATTTTTCTGTGTCTAGAAAATACTTGCTGAAAAGTTCTGCACTGAAGCCATGAAAAACCAAGCCACTATGCTGGATTCCCCCACCATGGGGGACTCGGGGGCCCCCTTTCCTTTGCTGATGCATGGGCCAGGATGTCATCCCCAGAGAGGGCTTAAGGACATGTTGGGTCCCTGGATAGATTTGTGCTTTTGCTGCAAGGCAGCCTTAGAAACATCCCTGAGTGCTGCTTAGTTATGTAATTTAAGAAGCAGTATTTCTAGACTATCTTTCTCCCATGCACGGGTCTAAGGGAGGTGACAAAAATGTACAAAGCAGTTCCTCCCCCAACACACATCAGAGCAGTGGTGGTAAATAACAGCTTTTGAAAGGCTGCACAGTCAATGAAAACAGCAGTACGAAATCAACAAAACATCCTCCAGGATAAGCTAGATTTGCATCCAGTAGCACCTTAAGAGACTGACCAGATATTTGGGCTAGGAGCTTTCAAGAGTCCAAGCTTTGTCCTTCAGATCTGATGAAGGGAACTTGGACTCTCAAAAGCTCATGCCCCCCAAATCTCATTTATTTATTTATTAGTTCGCTTTACACCCTGCCCTCCCTGCCAAGGCGGGTACATGGTGGCTTACATAAAATGCATATATAAATACAGTTAAAAAAAAACATACATAAAACATTCATAAACAGTCAATTATCCATTTTCCTCAAGGGTCAGAAGCAATTAAAGTGCAAGAGCAGAGAGTCCTAGATTAAACCATACCACTAATTAGATGATAGTCCTGATGGTATTCTCACATCGGCTCAGTTTGATAGATTGATTTATGGGGCGAGACAGGCTGAAGGTAGCAAAGCCAGGGCAGAGGGTCACTCCTTGGTGTTTCAGGCAGCTCCTAATCGAAAGCCTGGCGGAAGAGCTCCATCTTACAGGCCCTGCGGAACTGTAAAAGGTCCCGCAGGGCCCTGATCTCCGGGAGCTCATTCCACCAGTATGGAGCTGCCACCGAGAAGGCCCTGGTCTGTTGTTGGTCTCTAAGGCGCTACTGGACTGGAATCCGGCTGTTCTACTGCAGAACCAACGTGGGTGCCTTCTGAAACTGTCCTCCAGAAGGAAGCCCCTTTCCAAGACCTCCTGAACACAGAGTGGCCCTCACTTTCACTGGTAGCCCATTTCAGAATGACGGGGCAGGAGGTGGTGGAAAGTGGCTTCAAGTCGCAGCCAGCTTATGGTGACTCTGTAGGGTTTTCAAGGCCAGAGACGAGCAAAGGTGGTTGGCCATTGCCTGCCTCTGCGTAGCGACCCTGGACTTTCTTGGTGGTCTCCCATTCAAGTATTAACCAGGGCTGACCCTGCTTAGCTTCCAAGGTCTTATGTGATCGGGCTGGCCTGGGCCATCCAGGTCAAGGCAGTGCTGGGGTGTCCACCAGAAAAGAAGAAGAGAAGAGATTGGATTTATACCCCGCCCTTCACTACCCAAGGGTGTCTCAGAGCGGCTCACAAACTCCTTCCCCTTCCCCTCCCCACAACAGACACCCTGTGAGGGAGGTGGGGCTGAGAGAGCTCTGAGAGAAACTTCTCTTTTTCAAGGACAGCTGACAGAACTATGGCTTGCCCAAGGTCATCCAGAAGCTGCGAGTGGAGGAGTGGGGAATCAAACCCGGTTCTCCCAGATTAGAGTC